AAACGGGCCGAATATATCCCTCAAGTGCGTCACTACATGCGCAAATTGTACAAGATCCAGTTTGCTGTGTCTCCAAGTCGTGAAGTTTCATACGGTCTTGACCTCGCTGGTCTGCATCGCATCCTCGCTGGTCAACCTCCAGCTGTTCGGGTCAAGAAGAGGCGAAGACCAAAGTTCACTTTTGGCCAGGATGTCGACAAGGATTGGCTAGATGGTACGCGTTGCATATGCCGCGGTCGCACGTCATACCTCCTCGATTATCCAACCGTTGAATGCGAAGCTTGCAGAAGGCGTTACCACTCTGGTTGCGTCTTCTTCCCTATAGAAGCCAATGTCAATGGCAACAATCGATTTATGTGCCCGCTGTGCTGTTTGCGTAGGAGCCGACCATACATCTATTCAGAAGTCCGCGTCAAGCACGTTGGTCAGTAAAGTTCGTCGAGCATCTTACCCACACTAACAGACGAACAGATAATCAAGACCCAGACACTTACGTCAATACGAGCGCAATGCTGGATAACTTCAGCAAAGACGTTGTTTATACGAAGATGTTACCCCCATACACGCAAACATTATTCGTAGAACTCATACGATTCTCGCCCGGTCAGCCAGATCTCAACAATGGCAATGCACCAGCTTCGCGGAGCGTTCCAGCACATACAATGCTTCACAGTGCCGAACCTGGCCCTTCTACGCACCACCGGCATTCGCATATTCACAGCGCTCCCATGCCACTTCCCACACCACCAACACCTGTTTATGAGCTTGCGAGGCAACCATCAGCAAACGGACATCACGTCCCACCTCCCCCGCCCTGGCAATCCCGCCCACAGTCACCACACTTGAACAAGAAGCGTAAGTATGCAGATGACACTCCGCAAGACAACCCGGAGCCGAGATCACCCAAGCAACGGCGCCTTCCTCAAACCCCTGTTCTCCCACCTGCCAGCGCAGCATCTCGTACGATGCAGCAGGCGCTTTCGCCCTCGCTGGCGATGATTGTATCACCGGTCGATACCGAGCCTTCCCCTCGGCGACCACCTTCGATCCCTCCTTATGCTAGACCACCTCCCTCCCCATCTCTTAACACAATGAATGGAGAATGCTCTTCTGTGAAGTCAGTAAAGTTGTTGGTTGGAAACCACAAGTAAACCTCTCTAGTGTATTCGTTCATGCTTTTTGGTTTGGTTCTGATACGCCTATTGTACTTGTTATTTGTTGACCGTTAGTTGCAATTGTCCTTACTACCCCTGACATGCCTTCTATGGAGTGTTGATGTACGTCAATGAATGAGGAGCGATATTACGAATGGGAAATTGAGGCCGATCCTCGAGTTCTCCCGCGAACTCGATGGAAGTCTAGACGCAAATCATGATGACGAGATCGGGAATAAAAAACTATGAATGATGATAGCAAACCAGAAAAGCGAAGGCCTAGGCACTAGACAAAATTGAAACAAAACAATTGACCCCTCATGCCTTTATCGTCTAACCATGAGCTTATACGTGGTGTACCCGCCAATGATGCCAAAGGCCGCAAGCGCGGCAAGGATCCCAGCAAACCAGTTGTAGGACATCTGAAAAACAGAATAAATAGTAGCGGTGCGCAAATGGTAGCCCACATACCGTATCATCCTGGCCTGGAACGTGTACATTCATACCCCACATACCTGGATGAATCATGAGGACACAAATAATCGACAGTGAAGAAAAGGCACCGACCCGTTACCAAGTTCATAGGAATGAGAACCGTACCCAATGCCGTCAACTTCGAAAGGACATCGTTAATCTGGTTGTTGGCATCTGTCATCTCGATGGAAATCTGCGCCAAGTAGTTGGAGTGCGACCGGGACAAGATTTTTTCGTAATGATTTAGATTTTGCGTCATGGTTATCAAGTGATCCTAACAATTCATCAGAATTAATAAATAGTATATTCGGCATCGGCGGTAACTAACCTGAATGTCGGAAAGATATAGGCCCTTTTGTATAGAATGAGTCGTGGCACGAATGTCCAAAACCGCATAACTCACGATGTCTGACGTTGGTGCCACCCTCCAGTTTTCGTTGCATCTCTTCGCGAGACCCTTGACTACATCCGCCTTATTACCCATCAAGCGCAGCAGTCCCATGACCTTCTTGCGACATGTTCCGATTCTTCTCAACATGTCGCTTTGTTCCGCCTCCTTTAGGATAAGGACGAGCTCATCAATCGAGTCGACTTCATATTCAATGGACTGGATTAGAGGCCCGAAGGCATCGGTGATGTCATCGATCAACGCATACGAGATCCAGTCCGATGTGACGTTGATGTAATCTTTGAGCTGCTTTATTCTTCGGCGGACATTTTGCGGATGAGGGGTGGGGCGGAAGTGGAACTAAAAGGATCGTGAAAAAAATAGGAAAAAAGATGGAACACTTACAGATAAAGTTCCCTCTCTAAAAACAATAATGTACATGTTCAGGGGCTCCAGGTGCGTAGGGCTGTAAGGATCCTGATCGAAGCTCCGGAAACAGACAAGGTAGTAGTTCCGGAACAATTCAATCTTTTCACGAGCTTCCTCCATTTGGATGTCTTCAACGGTCAAAGGGTGGATAGAGAAGACCTAAGGAATGCTGAGTGCAGAGAATCAACCGCTGACATAGGTAGTACCTTGCTTAGAACCTTCATCTCTTCATCTGTCGGGCTTAGGACATCTAGCCACCATGTATTCCCCTCAAGCTCGCCACCACCCCTGATGCTATCTGGTGGGCCTGAATTACCACTACCCTTCTCTGGACGACTATGAGAGCCCCCGTTTTGGTACCAACCGTTGTGACTGGGGGCTGCGAAATCTGGCGGGCGCTTGTTCGTGTCCTGGATAGAAGCTGCCCCTTGGTGAGGCACGGGAACAGGGGCAGACCCACCCTTCACGTCTCGCGGGCGGTCGGGAGGAGCCAGACCAGTAAACAAATCTTCAAAGGACTGCCCATCCGCAGGAAGTTCGCTGAGGCTTCGTGCATGAATAGTTGCAGACAACGCATTGGAGTAAAACGAGAATCGGTATGGTCTGTCATGACCGGGTGTCATGATCCCACCCATCCCCGCAGCGTTATACCGATTTGTTGCCATGTTGTCTAAGGACGGAATTGTGGCTAAATGCCCATGTCCCATGAACCGGCTTGGAAGGGTGAAGTTTGGGTCTCCACCGTGGTTCTCAAATAGAGCCATCTTGCCCCGGGTACCTTTCTGGCTTTGCCTAGGGATTGGACTGCTCTGGCTGAGCTTGCGCTGCCGAATATTACTGCGATAAGGGGAGTCAGATGCAATGTCAAATGGAGGAATTCCTCCAGGTGGAGATACCGCCAATTCTGGACCCCCACTCTGTGCAAAATTTGGGTGACGCAGCCGAAATGCTGGGCCATGGGTATCCGTAGGTGATGATATGCCTAGCTCGGTCTTTTCTTGAGCCGCAAAGGCCTCCAGATGAGTAAAGGCGAAGGCGGAGCGGGATGCATTCGCTTGATATACGGGAAGGCCCGGCATAGAAGCGAGAGCTTCATCGCGAATCGGTCGATACTCATTTTCCATGGTCGCAAGAAGCGCTGGGTCATGGGTTTGGTCAAGGTGCTGCATGCGTGGGTCGATAGGAGTTAGAGATCGTGGAGAGTGCAACCCGTCAGAACCGCAGTTCACGCTACCATCATGGAGATGATTAATTCTGTCCCCACGAGCGATATTAATGTCGTGTTCTTCGACGGCTGAAAAGTGGGAAAATGGGGGGACTGCTTCAGGGCGAGGAGCTGATTCGTATTGTAATGATATTGGAGGCGTTGTTGTAGTCTCTCTCCGGGCCCTGGACAAATGCAGAGCCATGTCTACATCCAATGTTCTCTGCCTCTCCCTCACTTCTGGGTCATTCAGATCATAAGAACAGATAAGCGTCGGGGAAATGTGTGGTCGGGACCCAGATTCCACGACGTCAGTTTGACATGATAAGCTTTCTCTGTTGTCCCTTCGTCGAACGGGAGAAATGCCTCTGACTGAGTCAGGGGAGCTCGAGAGCACGAGTGCGTCATGAAAAGTCGGAGAAGTCATGGGGTCGGTCAACCTACGAGTGTGGTCAGCAGACTTGTGGAACTCTAAACGCTAAGAACCGCACCAGATTCGAAGGAATGTCTAGTCAAATAGCTCACCAAATTGATAACCTATGCTAAGTTGCTTAACGCATTAACCTTGAAAGACAAACTAATTCCACTCCAGCGAAGTCTATTGTAGAGTATGTCCAGCACATGACAGGCTTACTTAAGCCCTGTTAAAAGTCCGGACCAAGTGCGGAGGACTTGATGACTCGATATGATCACCTCGTTGAGTGAGAGACGCGAGCGTACTACAGAGAGCTTTTAAAAATGTCTCGCCAGCGTGCAGAGCGCTGCTGAATGGGATTCGAAACAAGAGTTATTTCTCACCTTACATGTGTATTTCCAATAATGATAAAAGTTCGCTCCGTGAGATTTCCAGCTGGAAACTGACGACGGTCCAACAGCACTATGCTTTGGGGTCGGCTGCCAACCGCTCTGGCAAAGGCCTGGGCCCAGTTGCTCGCAGTGAGTCGTCAATACCGCTTACCGTGCCTGTAGTTATTCTTGCTCATCAATGTGTTTTGACTACTAGTACTATGATCATAATATTTTTATCATCTAAGGACTGCAGATTTCGGAATCAATTTTTTATACAGTGGATCCAAAGGATGAAGCCCTTGTAGATATCTATGAGATATTAAGAACCCTAAAGGGGTGAATATTGATGTATTAAGGGTTTGAGGGTAAGACTTGAGACTGAAACAGTTAATCAGGCATAATGAGATTCACTACGTTGCTCCACGGAACCATTTCTCAGAATATAGACAGGCTATCATGCAAAATTTCAGACATTTGCCCATTTGGTAACTCTCGTGTTGATCCTATAATAATGAAAATCAAATAAAAGGTTATAACGTAAAATATATTAAAAATAAAAAGAAACCCCTGGCGGGACTCGAACCCGCAACCTCCAGATACGCTTCAATGGTAGAAGTCTGACGTCATAACCATTAGACAACAAGGGCTTGTCTTCTAACCGCCAAAGGGCGTCCATAATCCTGAGGAGGTCAAGTACTGGCAGAATAAGTAGATTCACTTGTGTATCACCAGTGATCCTGAAGACCTCCGCGGACAATAATTCAGATTCCACCGTCCCGAATGCCTTGCCTGCCCAGGGCCGAACAGGCATGTGATGTTAAACACCACACTTGGAAAACTTATATTATTCGAAGCATTTGGGTTAGTGAGTCATGACAGCAATAGCATAGCAGCGTGTCGAGGAAAAATATGCCAAACGTGAAAGAATTCGATTACTTACACCTATGGGGACCATTTGCATTTGCGAAACGGTAGTTTCCGCAACTCTTCGGACACGTAAACGTGGATCCGTGATCGGTAAAGACGTCTAGTGATCAAGCTCCCACATAAGGAGTGCAGAGCCATGTAGAGAGTGCCACGTAGCGTAATGCTACGTATTACGTGGGGTCAATCCAATTACCCTCGTCATCAAAAGAAAGTTCCCCGGATTACTACATGATGGCGAAAAAAATCAGACCCCCCCAGTGTCTCAGAAAACCCGGCATCCAGTTTTCCTTCTGCGCGTAATAATCCGATGTTACTGGGTATAAATTAGATCGATAAGTTTCCCTTTTGCCCAAACACACATCCCTCCAACGCTGAGCGTGCTCCACATTTTTGATCCCCTAAACGCATACATTCGCTATGGAAAATCGGTCTGTTTATATTGTATGGTCTTCTTCGTTGTTTACTTCGATTGCGAAGGTTAAACAGATATCACCAGGTGCCTCGTCATAAATTGTCCAACCCATCATATGTATATGATGGCGCCTCGCAGCTATCATCCGTCTCATCTGATACTTTCGGGTCTTCAGACGATCACGCTGGATGCTGGTCGTGGTGGGGCGGCCTTTGGCGCTGCCTAAAGTGTTGGTGACAGTGGCGATAGTCTGGTCAGTAGCCTGTCATAATATTATTTGAGTGGATCATACCATACTCTTTTACAACTTTTTTAGGTGACGATATAATACCCTATCATCGTATTTAAGTCAGAGTGGCTTGCTCCCAGCAGGGATCTGGGCGGCACATACGGCCAACACCCTACGGAGCATTTGCAATCGCCACACCTTGAAAGAAGGAGCACGGCATTCCTTCATTGTCAACGGTTGCTCTGCACCTATAGCAGAGTGAAGACCTATTTATAGTCAGCTAGTAGTAAAACTCGTACCACTATTTTGTACGTTTATGCCAACCAAGATCCTTCCGCTCGCCCAACGTAGTTGTCATAGTTTGACCGTCTGCGACTACTTCCGTTGCGCCAGCTAAATAAAAGCACCGCTAGTGTGGATAATCGCTCAGTACAATTACTGTTCGGGAGTTAATTCAAGTCATTGATTAGGCACGCATGCTACAAAGGGATATTGAGCATACGTTCTGAGGAAATTCCTAAAATCAGGTTGTGCCCCGTATTCAGCCGAAAAGATTCGGATATGAAAACAAAATTCATGAGCTACAAATACAATGCAGATGGTTCTATCACCGGTGTATTAAGGACCATCTCTTGCTAGCACCGCTATCTCAACTTTTGTCCCCAAACCCCTCCAACGTGTCCTTGCCCCTATCTGTTGAGATTCCGTAACAGGTAATTCCGTCAGCACCTTCGCAATGAAGTTTGCATCCGTCAGAGGGGTCAAATCATTGCGATTAGGAAGCCGCTGCGGTTGACAATTATAAATGGGCGAGTTAGTGTGAAAAGAAGCACTGTACGCACTCTCTTAACGCCATCGTATGGTGCCTCCCAACCACTCAATTGACGTACAACTAACGAAGGACTTGAGGTGAATGAATGATATATCCTCGTGTCATGTGTGCGGAAGAGCACATTATCCACACGAAGCGTGAATCGTGACAAAATGAATATACACGTGGGCATAACGCGCTTCAATTCGGGCTAGTTAGCAATAGAAAACCATAGGGTAGCAACACGAACTATTCGCACGAGAAGGTTGGATGATCCATTATCGTGTAGTTCATCTTCAAAAAGAGGTATTTCCGCGTAGAATAATATAGGATCTGGTCGCGTGAGCTCAGAGAGCGGAATAGAATGAGATGAATTGTCTTCATTGGCATCCATCCATTGTATTGAAGGGCTTGGCGATTCTATGTCTGGTACAGAATCAGAGTGATGCCCAGGATATGTCATGGTGTAAGTCCAGTCATAATGCTTGGCTGCAACTGTAACAGGCAACGGAAGGTTCGTTCCCGGGTCTGTGCTGGTGGGTACGCTCAGAATCACATTGATACATATGCAGCATGAGTTCCTCACCGGCTCTTAAGCCAGGCGTCTGCGTAGCCAACTTTGACTCCACCATCGCCCTCCCCGAGCTCACCCTTTTTCACACACTTGAGGGCATTATGAGTGTCAAACACCATTTTCCACCCGGATGGCTGATGTTCGAGAGATAGATAGTTATTTCCAAACGTCATTTCAGGTAACGGGAATCCCAACGAAGCTTGCAACGCGTCGCACTCCGACGCGCTAGATATTGGGTTGGTAGACGCGATTATCACCCAATCATTGATTTCGATTGTACGTGAGTTGGGAGTCTCTGATAGCTTGTGTTGCGGTACCGAGACTGCTGAAGACATGACTTCAGCAAGAAAGTAGTTCTCTGATACGATCTCCCGGGAAGTAACCGTTGTCGCCGTAGTTGATCAATGACGATCAAACTTGAAGTTATTGATCGGAGTTTCAAAATTATAAGTGTAGTATTGTTACCAAGTACTCAAAGAGTCAAACTCGCCTAGAATTACAAGATCATGGAGGGATCTCGTCCAGCAACACCAGAAGCACCTCCAGAAAACCTATGGTCATCGATATTAGATTCAGTTTCCTCCTCACGATCAATCCCTTCAAAGCAAGTTCTGCTTCTAGGTCCTTCCTCGTCTGGCAAGTCCGTACTTGCCTCAGCCTTGCTACAGAAACCAGTTTCTGAAGAGAGCAAAGACGAGACACGATCAGATTTTGCTCTCGGATATGATTGGGCCGATATAAGAGATGACGGCGATGAGGGTGTGCTTCCCAGTTTTTCTGGATGTGAAGCGTGCTAATGCCGCGACTAGACACTTTGGCGCGTCTTTCGGTGTACACAGTACCTTCAGATGCGATAGCTTACACTACTTTGATACCACACTTTCTTCCTCCTCGGGCATCCCTGCCTCATACCCTTGTAATGATTGTTTTGGATTGGACGCGCCCTTGGACATTTGTAGACGATCTTCAGACGTGGCTCAAGTGGGTAGAAATATGGGCGAAGGGTGATGGATCTCGAGATCTTGACATCGTTCGAGAAGAGAATCATGAAAGACGTATGCTCATTTGATCGAGACAATCCGATAGCTGACATTACCTTGCAGTGCAATATCATTTACAGCATTACACCGAACCCTCCGTCGACGCAGTCCCTGCCACTTCTAATATTTCCTCAAATACAGTTCTACCCCTTGGCCCTGGCACTCTAACCCACAATTCTGCCGGTGTACCGATTATTATTGTCTGCACTAAATCAGACCTGATAGATGAGGAAAATGATCTCGTGGGCGCCAGCAGTTCTGGTATGGGTGGCATGGTAAAAGGTAAAGGTGGTGAGTGGGAGGAACGCACAGATGGCGTGATGCAGGTTCTCCGAACGATTTGTTTGAAATGTAAGTTTTTCTGTAAACCATAGTGAGCACCTCATCACACTGGTCTAGATGGAGCATCATTATTTTATACTACGCAGCAACCTAACACATTGCAGGTGCTGAGGCAATATGCCCTGCATCTCTTATTTATCCCACCGGCACCGTCCCTCATGGCATCGGGGTCCGAGGGACCAGCTCCTCTACGCAATCCATTTGTCTTTCATCATAAGCCAAATACCCTAGATCGTGATCGTATCGTCGTTCCTGCTGGTTGGGACAGTTGGGGCAAAATTAGCGTCCTTCGAGAAGGGTTTGAGGCGAAAGTTTGGGGTGAAGGTTGGGAAGCAGACCTCGATGCCGACGTGTTGGAGTCCGAGGATCATTCAGGCGCAAAAAAAATGTATAAGATGCTAGTACCAGATCAGGGCGCGAAGGTGAAATATGTTATTCTGGTAATCTCGCACAATGACCTCATTTTTTCCGCGCAGCCACCCCCTTTACCTCCGTTTAATGCTCCCATGGCAGAGCAGGCGTTTCTCGCGAAACATTATGACGAAAATGCCAAAAAGCCAGACCGAGATCCCCGTGGCGCTTTCCGAAATCCCACGGATACGGCCGCAGCCGGTATTGTTGGGCCACTGGGGAGCAGTAGTTTCAATCTTCCAAATGTTGAGCGTGCCCTCAGCGAGATGGAGGCCGGAATGGGAATGGCCAGCTCACTCAATGCCAGCACTACGGCCGATGGAGCACGCAGACTACCACAAAGAGCTCCAACGGGTGCAAACGTAACCACCCACGTTGGACGACCGCCAAGCTCACCAACCATCGGAACTTCACCTAGTTCTACTGGAGGACAAACCCAGCATGAAGTCTTGCAAAACTTCTTCCAAAGTTTACTCAGCTCACGGGATCGCGGTGGTGCCAGTACGACGGCTAAAAGCACAAGCCCAAAAACAAATGGTAGTACTAGTGGTACAGAGGATACGAGCTGATTACATTCTCCTGGTGTACTTTAGACTAGTGGATTTTGTATCATACAATATTTTGGGGGGCAGTGGACATTGTCGTGTGTTACAGGACAAACAAGTGACCAAACAAAAGTGACCGTCACCTTAAGACCCGACCTCCATCAACGGGCAGCCGAAATTTGCCACAGCAGAATTCGGTCTTAACTGGATTCGTCTCGCTAACTCGTTAGCCTCGTTGTCACCGCATTTCCCCTAACACCATAACATGGGCAAATGGTGCGTTCATCTAATCAATTTCAGTCTATCTAATCACACATGTCCCGGCGTGTAGGACAGCCGAATTCTATGATGAAGTG